CTAAATAGAAATATTAGATTAAAAGAAAACAATTGACAAATGATTCTTTCAATACAGAATGTGTGAAAGATATAAAATATTTTTGCATTCACACTTATTTTAAAGTGTGGTTTCAACCACAAGTTTACAACAGTAGAGAAGTTTTGAAAAAAAAAAAGATGACAAATTGAACAAATATGTCATGATAACATTAATGTCAAAATGCCACTCAAGTCTGGAGATTTAAGATATTTTAGTCACAAATACTTTTTTTTAAGAATCATAATTATCATAAAAACAATTTCCTAAATTTAAGGAAGCATTCTATCAATGATGTATATTTGTAAATGAAAATAATTTTGGTCTATACCAAACACAATCAAAGATACTTTGTACAAAACAATTTTACATTCAAATACAAATGATTCAATATATGAAATTATAACCTGATAACAAATTGTATAAGCACTCAAAAAATCCTTCAGTATGAAATAATGATAATAATAGAAAATATTGTAATAATAACAAATTTTTAAAATAAAAAAGAATGGCTTCTTTTTTTCCATGTTTTACAAAAGAAAGTAATGACAATGGAACATTCATATAAACCTGGGTTTCTTATAAAGGGTATGTGTGAATGATTGCAGTTATGAGGTCTTGTGTCTCCAACCATCCAATTCATCTGACAGTTGAAAGAAAAAAAAAATGAATCTTCAGAAAAAATTTTGGAATGTCAAAATAATATAATTATTACTGCTGCTGTTTATGCCAAAACATTGTGACTTTCTAAAAGTGAATAGTGAAAAGCTGTGATTATATTTAGTGATTAAAAATGTATTTTTTTATTGTCCATAAGCTCATTCATACTGTATTTTATTCATTCAGTCAATCATTGATAAAGATAAAATCTAATTCAACAACATATATGTTTAAAATATACAGTAGTCCTCCCTTATTAAAGTAGTGAATATCTTCTAGAGATGTCCCTCCCTAATACCAGCTGTATATAGTATCAAACAGTATATCTTGTATTTTTTTCTATACATACCTACAATAGTTTTATTTCTAAATTAGGTACCAATAAGGAATTAGTCTTAATGAATAATAATAAAATAGAACAATTATAGCAATATATGATAAAATTTATGCAACAGATAAAGATCTATTCTTACTGTGTCTTATCTTGACAAACTCAGTATAGAATCTTATTTCTTGATTAACTCTTTGGAGATGGAACCTCTTTTGAAGCTTCAGTGCCAAGAAGACAGCCCCTTTTCACAAGGTCTCACTTGGAACACATATAAAATCACAGAACAGAAAACTATCATAGAAACTGCCATTGAAAGGCCCAGATGTGCAAGAAATGGAAGAAACAATCTGATTGGCTAGTACAAAGACCAGTCAGCTAATCTCAAGGCTTGTATTATCAGGCCAATGGACCGGCCCAGTCATAGTCTTTTTTGTCATTCAACTTTTCGTTCAATAGATCAGCTCTGTCATCTCATAAGCCAAGAATTTTCATTTTTTTTTTTTTTTTTACTTAATGGAAACACTTCATAGCTTTCCTTTAGCATATTAGAATTACCAACATGACTACTCTTATGCCTTGGAACCATTCTTAAAGAAAACTTAAGAATTGTTTATTTCTAGGGTTGATTGTGAGTAACTGAAAACAGTTAAGTGGAAAGAGGACCAGTGTATATTATGGAAATAATATATAACATATACACATACATTATATATGATATGTACATCCTTTTTTTAACATACATGTAATATATAAATAAAAAATATCAAAGTTTGATGCAATATATCAGTTCCAGATGTATGTAAAAATTTCAAACTTTTTTTGCTTGAATAACAAAGAAAATTTGTTTCTTGAAAGATATTTGTTTCTTCTGCTGTTATTGTGTATTTGATTAAATCATTTCTTATTCAATTTTTATTAAAGGCTTTTCACTTTTGCCTCTTACATAAACATTTTGGAAGCAAGACAATCAAAACTATTTTGTATGTAATGTTCATAAAAATAAAAGTCTACAGAATGTATAAGTAATATTAATTGTTCTTTTAAGATACACAAGAAAATGTTTATGCATAGTCAAATTACCAATGCTGCATTATTTTGGTTTGGGTTTTCTTAGCTTTGGGAAAAAGAGTAATTTTAAACTATAATTTTACTTTTTATGAAACACTTTTGAATTCAATAAACATTTTAAAGTTCAACTCAAGCAGAATTCAATTTTTATAGGAAATGTTAAATAAATGTTAAAAACATTTACAAGATCCCACTAAGTTTTGTCTTAAATTTTTAGACACTAGAAAATATTTAAATGAACGTATTAATCTGATAACAAATAAGAAATGTTTAAAGTGATATACAAATCCTTTCACATAATATAAAGACCACACCTCTGTATATAAAAAATTAAATTACAAAGAAAAAAAATAGCATACACGTTTTAAAAATTTAATAAGTTGTTCTTGCTATTTTCTTTATAATAATTATTAAAAAAATCATTATTTTAAATTGCAGAATAACAAAAAAAGAAAAAGGAACTTCACCCAACCAAGTCTGCTAGTCTTTAAATGCTGCAAAACTGAAGCACTGAATTTTATATACAAATTATCACAAACAAAAAGATGCAAACTAAGTGAACATGTTCTCATCATCCCATATTGTTGTTTTCATTCAGTTCAAATGAAATTTCTTAAAAGGATAACTGAATTATATTTTAATTCAATAAAATTAATAATAAATGAAAAAGAACCAAATGAGATATAGAAATATGCAATTGTTTTTTGGGGTTTTTTTTTAGATAAATACAGAAAAAAATTTAAATTTCAGTGCTTACTTGGTCAAAAAATGTCATAAAAAAGATGAAAGTGACATGTTGTAGTCAATATATTATATTACAATAGGATTCTAAACAGTGTTTTAGACATTAAGTGTGTGTGATTATATATATATATATACACACACACACAAGATTTGAATTTCCAAAATCTCTTTCCTTAATGAAACTTTTTTTGAGGATAGGGGGAGCTGTTGTTATTTATATATATATATATATATATATATATATATATATAGAGAGAGAGAGAGAGAGAGAGAGATTTGGATTGTAAACAGTTTTAACTCTGAACCTACTTTCCAACAATCGACTGAGTGGAATTAAATGTAAATATTCCAATGGTTTAAACCTCCTTATATATATGTGTGTGTGTGTGTGTGTGTGTGTGTGTGTATGTTTTAAGTGTGATATATTTGCTGGTTAATCTAGAGTAACCCATTGCACAGGACTATTAAAGAAAAGATTGCCCCTTTAACAAAAAAAAAAAAAAACAGCTTTTAGAAGACTAAATTGTTAGAATATGATAATTGATGACTGATCAAAAAATACAGCTTGGCAAAATATTTAAATTTCTTATTTCCCTGAAGTGTGTGAATCCTGAAGTTTATTAATGCAAAATTTTCAATAAAAAAATAATGATAATAAAAGTGGATAGTTCATGTTTGACTAAACAAAAAATAAAACAAAAAATGGAGGGTGTCTTGTAACAAAATTTAACATGATGAATTTTCAAACAATGAGAAATGTTTTCTTATTTATTAATAACATTGATCTTTGAGTTAGTCAACAAACCAAGATTCAAATTCTTTTAGGTGCATAATACACAAGAAGTTTTCATTTTTTTTTTTTTTTGGTTGTGGGGAGGGTCATAATTTTTAAATATGCAATAGTGGTATCTTAATAATAGGAGTGTTAGAAATCATTTAAAGGGTCATTAAGCATGAAATTAATGAGGTGGTCTTAATAAGCTCGTTGTGAGAAGACTCCCACCTCGCCAAGTAATAAATATAAATGTCCACCCATGTCTATTAGGCACCTTTGAGTATCCAGTCTGTATCAGGTAAATGTAAAGCTTACATAAGTACAAGTTAAATAAATTTCTTAACTCTTTAAATATCTCTACCAATATTTGTTATTAAAAAGAGAAAAGAAAAAAATGGCAGAGGGTACATGGGAATATAGGATCAAATAAAAAGACATGAAAAGCCCATTAAAGTCTTTATGTGCATGAACCAGCATAATTCTATGCTTCCTTATAGTTAGGAATTTTCCAATCAGAAATCCTTTTTCAACTTCAACACTGACAAGGGCATAGAGTCCAAAGAATAAACTTTGCAAGATGTTTTGAATTTAGATACCAAATCGATTCAGCTCTTGGTGATGTAAGACCAGAAACAGAAGCAAAGTCCTTCTTGGGACAAACAATTCCCTACATATATCAATTTGCATACCCTCAATAAGCAACGGAACAGCAGTTATGACTTCAATAGAAAAAATAAATCCACTTCCTTCAGAATATATTGACTAAACTTGAAGTCCAATGCAATAAACAGAAAATAATTCTGGCACAACAAAACTAATTTACAATAATTATTGTCAGTGTAACGAATCTCACACATGCATAGACACACAGAATGTATATTATTATAATGTATTATTATTTTATGATTAGATGAAAATATATCTGTCCCAGAATAGTTGTACATTTGCATATACATTTCCAACACTAAATTTCACAACTATTATGGGACAGATTAATGATTGGATGAATGCTTATATATATATATATATATATATATATATGTGTGTGTGTGTGTGTATATGTATGGATGTATGCATACGTAAATGCATGTATAGATGTGTATATACCAAAAATAACTACAATGTTGACAGACTTATTCATGTGTGTGTGTCTGTGTGCTGCATAAATAGATGTATATATTAATAGGAATTACATTAAGAAACATACATTTTTAAACAAGTATGTAAGTATGTATGCAAATAAGTATCTGTATGCATACATGTGCATATGTTATGAGAAAAAAAATAAGATTTTACACATATGTATGTATACATTTATGTTGCATCAAGAGGTAAGTGCCATTTTTTATTTTTTTTAAATCAGAAAATATGACAAAAAATAAAAATGTACTTTAAACTCCAGTTTCAAAAAGAAGAAAAGATGAAAGAAAGAAGAAAGAAAGAAGAAAGAAAGAAAGAAGAAAGAAAGAAAGAAAGAAAGAAGAAAGAAAAGGCCCCAAAAAACATCTTTTTCTTCTTATTTTCAGAAAATTCGGAAAGAAATTCTTTGCAGAATATGCATATGTCTCTGAGGGTGTTTAAGAAGATGTCAAAGAATTGGTTCCAGTTGTTGATGGTGATGACAAAGGACAACTCTTGGATAGAAAAGCAGCAGTGGTGGTGGTGGCAGCGGTGGCAGCATGGTGATGGTGGTGGAGATGGTCAATTTAAGAAAGAACTTCCAGATTTGGTGGATGGGTGTTTGGCTGACTGAGGAAGGTCAGTGGCACCAGTTACCTAAGAGAAACAAATATATCCTTCCTTTTTACTTTTTTTTTTTCTTTCTCTCTCTCACCCTCCTACTTTCCCTTCTGGATACAACTGACCGAATGAACTAACCAGCTGACCTTGTTACCGTGAGTATCCAAGCCGAGCTAAAGCCATCATCTTCCTCAACTTAAGCACTTCAAGGAAGACAGATTTGTCTGAAAGGAAATATAAACAGGAAAAGTTTTTTGTGAGCAGTCAAGTAAAAGTTGAATACATTTTAACAGGCATTTATCAAAGAATAGCAAGAGTGACAAGCATTGCCCAGGTTAAAAATGATTTCCGTTGGATAATTTTGTGTTATGAAATTCCCCCTAGTTGATGGCATATAAGATACTTTTTGTTTTAAAAAAAGTGGGTATTAGAATTTTACAAAATTGTAATTAATGCATGGAAAACTGTTTTGAACTAGACCAAGTAGAGATTAATTGATTTGTTTATTACGGTTTAAAACATTTTGCAGGTTATTTAAAGCCAGAAAATATTTTTAAATTTTCAGAAGGTTTTGGAGATAATGATTTTTACTGCTACAAGTTCTAATTAACCCATAGCTGGGAGGAGAAGAGGTAAATTCATATTTTTCCCAAGGGTATTTGTGCATATGAGGAACCAGACTGGAATTGAAACTTGGCTCTCTAATTTCCAATTCCCATGCCATTACCCATTAGACCACCTGCTCATCCAAGCTTACAACACCTGCTATTCTTAAGTGGTAACCTATCTCAGTACTGACCAGGTTAAACAATGCTTAACTTTGGTGATCATATGAGGACTGATGTTTCAACTTGGTATGGCCATAAGCACCAAACAGGACATGGATGAAGTTCCAATCCCATAATGTTTTTTCCTTAATATTTCCTCCTGAAAGTTGGGATATCTTATATACCATTAAATATGGTACTTTCAACATAGCAAAAAATAAAATAAAATAATAAGACAAAAGAAATAAAATAATGCAAAGAAGAAAAAATATCACCTTGAACATAAAATTTCAAAGAACTTAAACCTTATCTTTGATTTTGGCCTAGAATCTTTTCTTATTTTCAGAAAATTCAGAAAGAAATTCTTTGCAGAATATGCATATGTCTCTGAGGCTGTTTAAGAAGATGTCAAAGAATATGCTCATTTTTTAAAAAGTCAAATGAAATCTTCAGCCATTCTAAAATGTTCATTTAAAAACAAAAATAAAACAATATAAGGGTGTATTTAAAGCAGCACCCAGATTCTGAGAAGTTATGCTAATATTTGTCATGTAGATTATTAATTTTGTTAATTCTTTTGGTTTTACAGATTCCATAATTTTCTCCCAAATAAATAGATAAACATTTAATCAATGTCTACCTTCTTGTAAACTGTAATACAAATAGCAAACAAACAGTTAAAACAGAAATTGGACACTACTTTTGACTTAGCCTGTATAATTTTATTGTCTTAAAATGTCAGTATATAAAAGTTCATGAATAATAAAATAAAACTCTAAGACAAAAACAAATAAAATATAAATATTTTGAAATTTGAAACAGACTATCATCACTCAAACCATATAATAATTATCAATGTGTATTTATATATTTATATATTTCCTGTCCCAGCTGAGTGCCTAATTAGTCAGACTGAAACCTATGTATGCACACATACAAAAACCAAGATACACATATCTACACAATGTTATAGAGACAACCAGTCAGTTTGGTTATAACTTAGAATAAATAAACCATACTATTAAATCACACACACACAGTAACAGAAACCACATCAATCGAGTATTTTCAACAGCAGCAACAACTAAAATGGATAACCCATGTAATCCAAAGTGAAAATAATGACAAAACTCAAAATGTTGACATTCCATACTACTTCAAGCAAAAGATTGCAAAGGAAGCCTACATCAATACTAGAAAGTGTAATAAGTGAGTGGACTTGAGAAACCTATTTCCCTGAAAAAGATTTTATAAATTTCAAGTGATAATAGTATTGGCTGCTCGGTCAATGAATACCAAATGTTTCCTTATAAGAAAACAGCTAATGTTATTATTCTGCTTATTCCTCTATGTGTCATATCCCTTCAGGATATGAGTGATCACAGCTGTCCACAACTTTCTTTGTGGACCTTAGCCCCATTTCCCTCTTTATCAAGCTTCCTGCACCCTCATTCTGCCATCCATCAGGTAGGTGGCCTGCTGCCCTGGCCTATCTCTCTTGACCTTAATATACTATGCAAGATTTAAGTTCTCTAAGGTCTCCTTCATCATGATGTGTTCAAGAAATTTCATCAATTTTTTTCTGATTCTGAGCATAAGCATTCTTTTTGTTAACATTTTCTTTGTTGCTTACTCACTCTGTCCATGGAATTCTCAGAAGGCAATTTCTGTTGCCTCCAGTTTTCTCTTCATTTATGGAGAGATTGTCCAACATTCACAGACATACAAGAGAACTAATATCACATAATAATTCTTTTCTTTGTTTCCGGTTAAATTTTCCTGTTTCTTAGTAACTAGTATCATTTATAAAATAGGTGGTCCAATTACTGATTTACTATTGTTAAAGAACCCTACAACATAGATGAGTTACAGCATAAAATTTTAGCATTAATATCATTAAGATAAATGAATAAAATCTTACCTTCTCCTTTGACAAGGCCTTGTTGAATATAACGGATATAAGTGTAGAAATTACAAACCGAGGTAATCTGAAAGGATGAAAGAAAAAAAAACAATTAAAAGAAATGGCCTTTTTTTTTTTTTTTTTTTTTAAAAGACTTTCACTGGTGCCTTTTTATAACATTGTTGCTTGGCTGTGCTGCCCCCACTCCCCCCAAAAATTGGAAATTACCGTTTACTGGAAATAAATAACTATAAAGTCATTGATGACAATTTCACATTGATCTCACAGTTTTAGGTTTGATTGGATATTCTGCAGTTTAAACTGAATTAAAAAAATATACCCAACATAGAATGTAATAAAAGTATGTTACAAAACCTGTCATTGTACATTGCTATATTTCCACACTAGTTTGGAACTAACACTAGTGAGTTTATAACACAAACCCTAGGGACTGACATTTCACAGTGTCTTAAAAACATACAGAGTGCGATGGGTAAATTATCGCCATATTATATTTTTCATCTTATGCATGTGTGTTGTTTGTTTTTAATTTTGTCAACTGTACAGTATATCAGGGTCAGTTGGGCACCATCTGTGAGAAAAGGAGCACCATGACACAATTCACTGTCAGAAATTTGGAAATGGCATGTGTACTGCTTGGTATTCACGCCAAAAGCTCCAATATGAACATTTCAGAGTGTTTGAGTATTAATCTGAGGACAGAGGATTCAGAAAGAGCTGGATGATATATTCAGTCAATATCATGGTGTTTGGCGTGATCACTAGGGATGACAATGTTATGGCTCCATTCACCTTCCCACAGGGCTCAGACTCAACACAGAGGCTTATGTCAAGTGCCTTAAGGCAATAGTGTTGCCCTGGGTCAAGAGTGGATGCTGGAAGACCTTATGTGCGACAACTGGACTCTTCACCATGCCACACAAGCAGGAGAACCCAGTCATGACTGTCAGACAATTTCTGCAACCACATCACCTCTTACATCTGGCCACCTAACTCCACAGACTGCAACCTCATTGATTATTATGTGTAGGGCACGATTGAGGAAGAGACCAACAAAATCCCTTGTAACACCAAAGATGAACAGAAGGCAAGGATTATGGCAGCATTAAGCAACTTAAACAAGAAGACTGTCCAGAAGAATTGCAGGAAATTCCGAAGTTGTCAGGAGGCTGTGTATGAAGCAATGGCAATTTTATTGAATAAATACAGGCTTTAGTATTTCAAGATATTTTTGTGTAATTTTGGTAAATATACTTGTTAAAACAAGATGTCAGTGTTATTTTCATTCTTGCATAATTTAGATGACAATTTATCTATTGCACCCTGTGTGTGTGTGTGTGTAAGTTTTGTTAAAGACAACTGACAAGGCCCTGCAAATTTTCTTGTGTTCATACAAGTGTTTTCTTTTCACTCAAATATACATAACTTTTTTGAGAGTTTTTACACAGTTTCTGTCCAGAAAAGAAAACATTTGCATGAACAAAAGAAAAATTAAATAAAAAGCTTAATCGCAGTTCCCTATCATTTGTCTTTAATGAAGCTTGTATAAAAGAGGGATTGCTGACTATGTATTTGTGTGTGTGTATATATATATATATATATATATATATACACACACAATGTCTGATCAAAAAGTATTGAGACTCTTGCTATGGTAACAGAACTAAATCTTGAGCTCCTTGATAAAATCCAAAGAAGAATCAGCAATATTATTGGTCCTAATCTGGCAGTTTGGCTTCAGTCACTTTCCTATTGCTGCAAGGTTGCCCTCTTTTTGCATTTTCTATAAATACTTTCATGGAAATTGTTTGGATGAGTTCTTCGGTATGGTACCTAAACTTTTTGAATTTAAGCGCAGTACTAGACTGGCATTGAGATCTCATCAATATATATTGAGCTGGCTAGATCCAACTGTAAATTCTATGCTAACAGTTTCTTTTGTCACACTTCTGGCTCCATGCTTTCCAGCCAACTTCAATCTTCAAAAATTTAAATGCAATGTCAATCGCTATCTACTGTCCTCCAGATTACTCTCTTTGTTCTCGCTCATTAGTAATGTTTCTGTTTCTAATTCTTCCACTCCCAGTAACCCCTTGTGTCTTAGTGGCTTTACTGCATTGCATGGGGTGAAATCAATTAAAAAAAAAGTAATAAAATGTATGCAGAGTGAAGCCACTTGGCACAGACCTTAAATTGTCATGCATCCACACTAATTTATTATGTTCTCACTCACTTCCATTGTTTATAGGAGTGGGTGGAAGGAAAGTGTATAGAGTGCACTCTTCTCACCACTTCAAAGAGGTTCCATCAGTGACCATGGCTCTGTGCAACAGCTTTTGGCCAAGAACAATATGCCCCAGGTACAACGACCACCATATTTCCCAGATCTTGCCACTTGTGAATTTTCACTTCAAAATCAAATTCCACTTGAAAAGAACAAAATTGTTTTTAGACATCAAGGCTATCAAAGACAATGTGACAAGGCAACTGCTCACTCTCCCAAAAAAGGAGTTCCAGGAATGCTTCCATCAATGGAATTAATGCTGGATAAAGTGTGTGGCTTCAGAAGGGGACTACTTTGATGGAGAAAAATGCCAAATTGATGTCTGTTATAATTTTGTTTTTATAGCACCAGTACAGATACTTTTTGATCAGACCTAATATATATATATATATATATATATATATATATATATATATATATATATACACACACACACACATTGACAACAGGTAACATAAGTTTCATAATGATGTATATTGGTTGACTTGTTTTTACAACCTTTTTATGATTATTTAAATCCAAAAGATATTTTAGGATTGTAAGAATTATTTTTGAGATAATAATGATACAATTCCTACTATTTAACCTTTAGCTGGGAAGAGAAGACTTGAAGTCATACCTTTACCAAAGGTATTTGCATGTAAGTGAATATAACAAACCTCAGTTATACATTTTACCGCCAGAACACACAAGCTTACAACACCTGATATTCCTGAGTGGTCACCTATCTAGGTACTGATCAGATTCAACATTGCTTAACTCCAGTGATTAGAAAAGAACCAATGTCTCAACTTAATATGAATATAAACCCATAAAGATGTATAAGCATGTTCACATCAGCAAAAGTGGTAAAACTTCCTTAACTCCCAAATTAATAATCTATTTTTATAAGGCTGGGTTCTATAACCATGGGTATCAACCAGTCTAGGAGAAGGAAAACTCTTAATTTAAAACCTGAGTGGTTCCCCCCATTAATCCAGGGTCTGGTGAGAAGGCTAAGTGGAATCTCACTAGCACAAAAAACAAAAGCTGTTAAAGGGCAGGTGATCTTCTTTAAGTCCATAGCCCTACACCCCAATTATGGGCTAAATAACCTCCCCAACCCACAACGGGCCAAGTGTGGTGAATATAGCTACACCCACTGAAGACAGGATCAATCAGGGAGTGGTCCCTCCAACAGGTGTGAGCAGACACTGGATTTAGTTTTAATATATAGCTGCAATGCATATCAATTTTTCTAACAAAGGACTAAAAACTACTGCACCTAAGTTCTTTTGCTAAAGATTTTTTATAGACAAAATTTATTTTTATCATGCAATTTTTTAATCATTAAAACAAAGAAAAATTTTGGTCATTATTTTTTTTTTTAAAGAATATAACAATCTAAACGGGTTTTAGAACTGTCTTTTGACATATTTCTTTTAAAATGTTGAATTAAGTTTTTTTTTTTGTTTTTTTTACATCTTCTACATTAACACATTGACTGCCAGAAATCAATTATGAAATCTGACTTCAAATGCCAACTTTATAATAGCCAACTTAGGCAATAAAAAATTGAAAAAAAGTTGATTTATAGTTTCAGCTAACGTCTTAACATTGTTTTCACACTAAAAATATAACATATGAACTGATTATTCGTACCCACAGAGAAAAATGTATTAGAAAATGCCAAGCACAAGATAACTTGTAGTTAGTATCATAATAAAATCAGTCAGTGTGTTAAAATATACAAGAGTACTGACCAAAGGGTAATGTAACACTTGCAAGTATTTGTTAGTTCAATAGACACGCTATGCTTGTGTTTGTACTGTAATTGGATTATTCTAATTAATATCTAATGAACAGGACTAGTGGAAATTTTCATAGATGTTGGCATGGTTTTACCTGTATCACTTAATTTTCTCCCTTATCCTTTTAAATCTTCTATGTTTTTTTTTTTTTAAATATTTTATACAAACATGGGTTAATTTCATATGCAGAAAAAAAATAAGGAATTCACAAATATTTAATCCTGTATCCTCTCTCTTCCCTTTCTTTTGCTCTGACTTTCCATAAAGAATTTTAATATTTCAAAATGTTTTTCTATCTCTACTGACTTTCAATCTTTCCCCCACTGTCTCTTGATATTCAGCCAGCAAGCCTACAGTCTTTTGGTCTCCATCAATCTATCATCTCTAACATTTATTTGTTCCTTCTATCCAGATTTTCTTTGCATTTCTCACCTTTTTGACATCTTTTTCCCCCTCTTTGATTCATTCCCACTTAATAGGTTTCTCAATTAGTGAAACTGAAACCAGCTCGGAATGGTCAGATATCAAACACATTTTACACTCTGTTCTTAAGTGTAAAGACCAGAAACAAACAGAATAACAATATAGAAGATGCCACAAATTAACATAAACAATCCTCACATGGTGCAGCAATAATACAACACTAACAAACTTAATAAAATAAATATTGTTATCATCACAAGTTTCAAAATCAATACAGCCTGATAAATATTAAATACAAAAGTCCATAATGAATCAAATACACATGATTAAAAGATGACAATAACAGAAAAAATTATTCATATAGGTACTCAATATTTGTGATTAGTAAGCAGGAAATGTTTCATTTTGTTAATATTTTAATCTTTATTCATTTCAGCTTTAAAAAAAAAAAAAAGGACATATATACTTTTTTTTTAGTATGCACAAATATATTAAAACAAAGGTAGGAAGTGGAAGGGGAAAATACCATGAAATGGTAATTTGAAAAAAAAAATTTTTTTTCAATTTTATGGTATCTTTTTCCTTACTCTTCTGGTTTTAATATACATGTGTGTAAAAATTCTGATATAAGTAAAAAGTATCTCTAAAAACACAATATGAATAAAGACAAAAGGAAAAATTAACTTTACCTATACATTTCAACTATATTTCTCTTGATAATGGACATTAGAGGGCAAAACATGTTGGTAAAGTTTCCTTTTGTTTTTCTATTGTGGAACTACTCCACTTACTTCCCTAACAAAAAAAAAAACACACACACACACACACTTCTAGGGGATGCTCCCTAAGCCTATAAATAAACAGTGACATTCTCTGTCATGCTCTTTTTCTTATTTCACCCAGGGACGGTAAGATGGAGGTTACATGTAGATAAGAACGTTGTCACTGAGGCACATTCACTTCCTTTGGTCCTCTGTTGACTTTTGAATTCTCTTGCATATATGTATAGTATAGCTGGTTACTCATATTTGAGGATACCTGTCTACTAGGGCAGCTAGCCGATCCCTATTGCAGACACTTGCTCAGGCACATTTCTGTTTATTCAACACTGACAGAAAGCATGTGTGGTTTATGCTGCAACTATGCTGAGCAGACCTTAGTTACAGTTTCTGGGAAAGAGCATGTTATCTAGCATGATCAACAGTTTGAACAAGGCCAGCACACTCAAGCCTGCAGCCATGATGACTTGTGATTTCATGCTAGCACAGCTATCGACAGCCTCCAACTCTTACACACATGCATATATACATATGTGGCTATCACAAACACTTCTTACACTTACTTCTACCCTTCACTAGTTTTTTTCATTCATCTTCAGTGTCCAGTAATATGCAACAATATTCTATTGTCTATATATATATATATCTTTGTTATGTTAATACCTAATTATCATTGTAGTTTTGTTGTTACTTTGATCATTTATTATCCAGACTCACATTCCAAGTCTGCCATTTTTGCTGTGGGATAAACAAAGAGCCCTTCAAAGGATTATAGATGCTGCCCAGAAAATAATTAGCTGCTCATCGCCCTTCTCCTTCTTGGAAGACATTTGCAACTCTTGTTGCTGCAGCAGAGCAGAAAACATAATGAAGACAGCACACATCCTGAGTATCACTTGTTTAAACTTTTACCATCAGGGTGGTGTTTTAGTTCTATTAGTTCTAGAAAAAAGAACTTGATGGACAGCTTTTATCCTTGCTACCACATGCTGAAAATTTTCAACATATTTTAAACATTACGTTTCTTCATTTAATGCTATACATTGTGTGTGTGTGTGTGTGTGTGTGTATTATTGCCCCTGGGGATTACTGCACAATTTCATTGTGCATTGTATTGACAAAAAGAATAAATAAATAAAAATATTAAAAAAGAAAACCAGGTACTTTTTTAATTTTATAAATTTCTCTTGTCAATCCCAGTTAAATTATGAAGAATACTTACCCGATTTCTGCAAAATTCTGAGATTGAATGCCAATTTGTATCATCTCCCAAACGGATCTTGTAATTACACAGTTTATTGCTTTGAGACAGAGAACAATGTCTGCAAAAAAGCAAAAATATCATTGAACAAAAAAGAATATATCAATACAGTAAACATATATATCAATACAATAAATAAACCTAAGTCCTACAAGATTATTACCATATTGAAATAAATTAAAAAATATAGTATTTCTTTTTAATTTAACTTAATTTTTAACATAATTCTCAGACCATCATTCAAGAGCAGTCAAGTAAATCAAATAAGAAATAAAAATAAACCTTCAATGAGACTCAAAGTTTATTCTTCATTGATAACAATTAAGTATTGTTATTGCCCAACCTTTCATTAGTACCATAGTGCATTGTCACAGCATTAGTACCATAGGATTTCAAACACACTAGTTAAGATATTTAGATATATCATTTAGCTCTTAATTTTCTTGTTATACAGTCATAAGTGTTCTTTCTGGTTCTTCTTGTAGTCACTTGACTGAAGTATTCTAAATATAAAACCCTTGATTTTATATATCAAACAGCTTTATCTCTCTTCTTTATTAATTAGATATTCTGTTATTATGATTGATTGATTCATTCATTCATTTTCTACAGCTTATCAACACTTTGAAGATAATTATTATATTTTTACATTGTATGAATTTTTTTTTAAGGGGAGAGATCATAATAATTTAGTGATACAAGTCTTACTAATTAACCCATAGCTGGGGGAGAAGAGGTGGATTCATATCTTTGCCAAGGGTAATTGTGCATAAGTTAATATAACAGGCGAAACTGGAATTGGAACTTGGCTCTCCAATTAACATTTCTAAGCCATATCTATTACACCACATGCACATCCAACCTTACAGCATATGGTATCCCCAAAGCAGTTACCCATCTATTTACTGACCAGGCTCGACGTTGTTTAACTTTGGTGGTCATATCTATTGTTATGGTAATGGCAGTGCCAATAAGCAATCATGCCTCATGTTGGAATATTGCATTGTAATTAGTGAGAACAGGTTGCCAAGTCATTGCTTTTTATTTGTTTTGTGCAAGCTTTTGGGGGGGGGTATACTTTTACTCTTAATGATTTTAAAAAGCAGAACTCTTTCTTTCATGTAACAATAGAGTTAATTTTAGAAATAAAAGTCCTAGATTACTCATGTAGAAAATATAACTAAAGAAACTTCAAAATTACTTCTACATAATTGCCTTTTTTATGCTACAAGGGAACTAGTTCTGTTGATTAGTTTTGCAAGTTTTTTTTTTTTTATTTTGTTTTTTTCTTAACACTTACCTAGGGTAAGAACTGTCACCAGCAATTGGTTCAATAGTTAATGTGTTCTTGTCTACACACTCCTTCACTCTCTCAGCAAGCTGAAAAAAGAAACAAGAATATAGAAGTCCTATTCAAATGATACCAAACTATTTCATTTACATATAAAAATACACATGGATGAGTCAATAAATCTGTAGTCTGATATATTAGCTGAATTTTTATTGAAAATGTTTATTGTATAATGTTCAATCTGTGATTAATATTCCATATTGAATTAAGTGCATTGACAAGGAAGGAAATTATGTTGAAAATATTTATCGTATAAAATAAACTTTTTCATATACCTACTTAAATATATAAGGATACACCAATGTAACAACTATTGGGGAGAGATAGTATTATATAATTGGCAGTAGTGGATAGAGCAAGTCACAAGAATAATATTTTAAATAAGGATTAGAAACCAAATTTATTCAAATACCTAGATGGTAAGTAACAAAAATTTCATGATGTGGTCAATTTTATTGATATTTCATAATAACAAAGATGAAGACAATCATCCAAGTGTAAATAATGTAAGTTTATTTCATGCTGGAAATTTACTTACTGTTTGGTTGACAAAGTTCAGGCAAGGACCAATATCCTCCAAGATTACTCTGGAAAGGAATTGACTTGATTCTTCCAGATCAGGATGTTCTCGCCACTGGCAGAATTCTTCAAAATAGACAGGATCAATCTGAAAAAACAAAATATTACTTTGCTCTTTATAAAAGAAAAAGTAGGTTGAAGCTAAGAACTAAAGCCATATGGATATTGCAGATTTCAAAAGTATAGGTTAATTATCACAATTCCAATAAATTATAATCCAATTCCACTGCTATTCCAGAGAAAGTCAAGTGCCATACATGATACATGCTTGGGTAATCATGTCTCTTTCAATTGATAACTTACTAGGTAAAAGATTTCTCATAGTGGGCTGCTGTTTCTTTCTGTGGTAGACTGGTTGCCAATCAAGGCTAGAAGACCCAGTCTGTCCTACTATTCAACATATGGCTGGAGGGAGAAAAGATGGATTCATATCTTTCCCAAGAGTATTTGCATGCAAGTTAATATAATGGATAACTAGAATTCAAATTTTAATTCTTCATTCTGACTTGTTATCCATGAAACCAGACATCAATTTTTCTCATTCCATTGTTTACTACTCAACCCTGAGATTGAACCCACAATTGCTATGTCATCAAATTTACAAACCAACACTGCAGTAGCAACAACAAAAATGAAGACATTATTTCAAATGTAAATAACTTCAAATTTATTTGTATATCATGCCAGTTTGATAGTACTTTATTATTTTCAGTAGTTATAAATGATAGGAAGTTGTAGAGAGCCATGATCACTCACGTCTTGAAGAGACACAGCACATAGAAGTTCTGACACAAACTCAAAATTAATTATAAGACATTTCTTTTTGATTACTTGTCTGTATTTTCCTAGTTTGCTCTTATTCATTCATAATACGATGAATAAAGAAAATATCTCATGATATTGAAACACTATAGCCTGTAATAGATATTATTGCCACTGCAACTGGAATAAACCAAAGCTTCATATTGCACTGAGAAATGTAAGAATAAAAAATAACTTATGGCAGAATTCAAAGATTAGCAAAAATGCTATATATCTGGAGAAGGTTGAAAAGTATATTGACTGAACATTACATTCAAAACAAAGATGAGAATAGTAGTAGAATATTTTCTTCATTTTATAACATCAGATATGCAAGAATGAAGTTAACCATTTTAAGTATTAAAAAGTCAACAGTAGTTTATTTTACAGAAGAAACCAATATTGATACTGCAATGCAAATTAACATTTATTTTTTATATTAATATCTAAACTTATAATCATCATTCATATTAATTATTATCATTTAAAATTTAACAAATTTATTTAAAAAGCAGTTTCATTTCAATCAGCTAAGAATGACTGATATATTTTTTTTAAATAATTTAGTCAGAGAAAAACTGATATATACCATATTAAACGGCATATGAGATTCCTCTTTTTTCCAAAAAAGATGATGCAAAAAATCTTTCCTGGCTCTTATATTTTTGCTCAGATGCTGTGGACTACTAATAACTTTTCCTAGCCTTATTCCCTAATTTTGTAATATTAAATGTAAATAATGAGGCAACAGGTTTTAATAACAGTAGTATTCAATGTGAAAGAATCGGCAGTGTATGTTAGCAAAGTATCTAATGAACAATTTCATCCTTTTATTTTCTCTCATTAAAAATAAGTAGACTTGTGTTGTATCTTGTATTTCTAGATAACAGAAGGAAATAAATAATGAAGACAAAACCATAGGTAAATAATGAGAAAGAAGGTTTACTACACAAAGGTACACTTAGCAATTGAATTAATGCTAACTCTCCTCAACCCTGCTTATTTATATAAACATAATGATTCCATTTATTTATGTCCTATATGAGAACTTGCCTAAATAATTCCAGGTTAAAAATCACATTAAAATACTCAATGTTCACAAGTATCTATTATCAACCATAAAAAAACATCTGATTTCTCATGGCCTTCAAAAATAAAAGCAAAGATCACAACATTCATTGATTTCTATGGCTTATCAACTCTTTGTAAGTTATTTAAAGCCAGAAAAATATATTTAGATTGTAAGAACATTGTTTCAGAGATAAGGATTTAGTGATGCACATCTTACTAATTAACCCATAGCTGGGAGGGAGAAGTGGATTCATACATTTCCCAAGCGTATTTGTGCATAAGTGAATATAGCAAAACTGACAGAAATTGGAACTTGGCTCTCCATAGATCACAACAGTTTTTAGTTTTTTCCTAAGATTTTACAGACAAGAGACAAATTCTAGCTCACAGTTCCACAAATGGAAGAGGAATATATATGAAGAAAAACAGATTGAACCAATTAATGTAGATAACTTATGGTCTTCTATACAAAAGTATAAAGACGACAGCAATGTTATGATTAAAAATATATCCAACAAGTTTGTCTTTTTGTTCACTTTGTATAAAAAGATATAGTATAGACTGAAAACCTGACCAAGGAAGCCTGACCGAATAATTGACAATGTTATCCAAATTAAAATTTCTTCTTTATTCGCCATAAAATAGAAGTGGGCAAAAGAGTCGTGCTAAATGTATGTCTGCCAAGTTGCTCCAGAAAAGAAAACAACTGCTTAAAACTGAAAATAAAAGAAAATGGGAAAGTGGGATAAATAATGAGGAAAGGGAGTAAGGTTAAATAAAAAGGAGGAAATAAATTGTCTCACCTCAGTGTTCTGACCATTTTCCACTTCATCAGATTCTTGCTGAGCTTCTTTTGTAAACTCGTGGTGGCTGGTTGAACGTCGATGGGTCTTCCAAAATGGCCGACTGCTCTCTTTCTTTTTATTGTTGCTTGTATCGATCTGCGGATGTAAATGTTTGTTTGGGGTGCTTGGAGTGGAAGTCAGGACCAATGTCTTCAAAGCAGTTACTTCAGCTTGCAACACTTCAATCTAAGAAAACAGTTCAAGTATAGATCAGAAAAGAGTAAAACCACTTTAAGAAAAGATAATCAGTCAAGTAAAAATGTTCATAATCTACTTTTAGTTTTAAAAATCTTATTCATAAAAATCCATGTTATATAAAGGAAAAATAAAAATGAAAACAAAATAGCATATCAAGTGTTTGTAAATATCCATCATGATTAATATTTGCCTAGTATTTCTTTTATCTTCGTATTGCATCTATTCATATTGGAATCCTTGATCATTCATTAACCCTTAGGTAAATATCTTATTACAATTTTGCTTGTTTCTCCCTCCATTAGTTCACATGACTGTTATGCCCTGCCAATACCTCATATACCATTTTGATCACATGGAAAAAGAGGAAAAGACACTACTTGGTTTCAGTGAGAGAAAGAAAGAAATAAGGGAAGACAGAAGTGTTTAACAGCTGTTTCAGTCAAATGAAAAAAGTTGTTAATTTCAAATCTTTTCATTTGTACCTACAGATTTCATATTTATAATTGTTATTGCAATATTTTGTTAAGGTTATTAGGCTCAAATATTTGGTAAATTTTTACTATTACACCTGTCTCCCTTTAGCAGTGAAATTTATGTTTTTCCTATGGTTTTTGATGTATTTTGAATTAATCTGACTTTCAAAACCATTGCAAATTACTCATTTTTTAATTACCCCACCCCTAGAGTTCTTGGGCAGGGAGACCACAGAATCACAATATTCTAAGATATTTTTCTCCCCCATCTTCCATTAAAGATGAAATTTATGGGTTTTTTTTTTTTATGTGTTTTGACATCTTGAAATCAAAAGAAAATAAGCTATTTTTTTTTTATTGTTGTTACTCAAAAATATCTGTAAGCATATCTTCATTGTTTTCACTAAAAGTGTTTTAAAAAGACAGAACAGTTTATCTTATGAAATTCTCATAAACAACTTATTGTGTATAGAATTTGACATTATGTTGAAATTAGAAAAATCTTGGTGGCAGTGTGGAGTAACAATTAGAAGCTCGGATTGAGGAATCAGAGAGATGAGTTTGGATTCCATTACAGTCCATTACATTCACTTATGTGCTAATACTCTTGGGAAAGGTATGAATCCATCTCTTCTTTCCCCAACTATGAATAAAATAGCAGGACAGACTGGGTCCTATAGCCTTAGGTGACAACCAGTCTAGGAGAAGGAAACTGTATTCAAATTATCCTAAAAGTGTATATACATGTAGCTGGAGACCTCTTATGAATCCAAATTCCCACTAAAAATCCTATTTGCACGTTTGAATGAATAAAACCTCTGCTATGCTTGGTCAGCTTTCATTCGGATGTGATATCAAAAGGAGCTCCATGTTCCCTAGAGAACAAAAGAAAACTAACTAGAAAAATCTATGTATTTATTGTAAACTTGGCAGATGGTCATTATAACATTTTATTCACAAAAATTACTTCTATGTACCATCTCCCTTCAGGATTTTGGCAATCATGGCTCTTCACATTTGTAGCTCTTAATAAATTCTATTTTTTTCTTATCTTTCCAAAAACCTGTTTTGCCATCAATTTACTGAAGCTCACTAAGTAGGTTACGCATTGTTTTCTTCTATCCCTGTCCTGTTCTACCATTTTGCTAGTTAAGTTATGAGTTTCTTCTTCATCTGTGAGAAAATTGTCCAGCATTCACTGCCATATAGGAGGACTGATATTACATAACAGTTCAGTACTCTTCTTTTTTTCTAACAAAATTTTCCAGTCTCTTAATACTTTCTTTAACTTTTGGAAGGCATATTTCAATATTACAATCAGTCTTAGGATTTTAGTATCACACTTTCCATCCTCTGTTAAAACACTTCCCAGATATTTAAATTTCTTCACTTGTTTGATTTTGATATATCTAATTTGTAATTTGTATGTTGGACTGTTCCTTTGCTAACAACTATGCATTGTCTTCTTGCAATTGATGTTTAGTCTTTTCTTCTTGCTTTCATTCACTACCTTCTGTAGTTCTTGTAGATTCCTTTCTGTGTCTGCCATCAACATTTTGTTATCTGAATATCTTATGTTAAGATTGTGCCTGCTAATTACATTGTTAAAAATAGAAGCTAATATTACTGTTTAGACAACTTTATATTTTGGGCATAAAAAACCATTATCATGACTAAGTAATTTATTTACCTTTTGATTGGCTTCATTAAGAAGTTTTTCCACATGAGAGCGTTTTGCATTGGCATCCTGTACCATATTGTTGGCTTCCTGAAAGATACACATATAAATTCATTATATATCATTAAAATAAAATATAAGTATATACAGTTCATTTGACACAGATCTACATTTATAGGAAACACCGGCAAGGTAACCCTGCATTGCCAAAACAAAATGAGAAATTCACAATTCTACCTTCATATTCTCTGTATCTTAATTCCTGGATGTTTTTAACTGTAAGAGTTTTATGAAGAGACTTCTTGTACACACATTGCTTATCAGTAGTAAATTGATGACAATAATATTCATAAAGGATGTGATGCTTTGCCACTAGATTGCCTAATAATGGTAATGGTAATATTAACAGTTTCCTTATAAGAAAACATTCAGCTTTCATTGACCAAAGAGCCAGTGCTACTGCATGAATATGGCTTCTGCTTATTTGGTAAAGTTCTTTGTGATTCTGCAATGCCAGTCCACAAGATTCCAAAATGGATGGTCTAGAGGGTTCATTCACCAAAAGCCATTTTTAAACATTAATCTGAAAAAGCAGACAGAGTAGATATTTCTGAATGAGTTTGTGACACTGGGTCCTCAAAGTTAATCAGAAAAGAGGAAGAGGAAAGAGACTACTAACTGGATGATAATTGTTACAATTCTCAGGAAAGTGGATTGAAAGTTAAGAAAATTAAAAATGAAATGTGTTAAAAATTTTGTTTAAAATAATAAAATGAAATCAAGATCAGTTCCAAGGAGAATCAAGTTCAAATTTAACTAAACAGAATTCTGTAAGATTGAGCAAAACCAAGACTACCAGTCCTTCCCCACTTGCCACTGATAAGAAAGAGACAATGTATCATCAAAGATGTTGGTCCTAGAAAATAGAAGTTTTTGGTAAAAACATCAAAAAAGAAAACACTGAATAAATGAAATCTTCATTTATTTGAAATTGAGAACCAGAAGACTAAGTATAGTAAATAAAAACTGTGCCTAAATAATTGAATATCAAATCACCAACCTGATTAAATAAAGGTTAATTATTTTACATGGGAATTTGAAATTAATCCAGTTATTTTAAAGCTTTTCAAAGTTATTTAAAGGAAAATAAAATAAAGCTCTTATGAACATCAGAAACCAGAACACAAATCATAATACTGGGTGGAGACAGACAACAAGACTCTTGAGGGACAACACCCAATCGTCTGTCAAGATTATAAATTAATAAGGTGTGGTCATTTTTTTTCTTTTAGATACTTATTTGAAAGTAGGAGTACATTCTTATTCTTTTTTTTTTTTAATGATTTTTTTAAGGATTACTTTCTTAGACAAGAAAAAATAGAAACATTTTTAATGTGTAAAGTTGAGTTCCAAAACTAAAATCTTAACTTTTGTTCTTTCTCTTCAGAGAGCATGAACTTGTAAATCTTTAGCCTTCACATTATACTTCATGAATAATTTCCTAAATGTAACAGCATTATTAAACTCACTTTAAATTAAAAAAAAATCATTATATTTGTATTGATTGTTGTACAATAAAGTCATGAAACAGAGAAATAGACATACAAGTGGTGGTGAAAACATTCTTGGCTCAACCCACTTCCCAAAAATAAATTTTGTTTTGGTTTTAGTCAGGCTGATAACTTTTCTGAACCCGTGTGCATGTGTGCGTGTGTATAAACATTGTGAACATAGAAATTTACACTTAGTTTTACACCTTGAAAGGCCATCTGATAAACACTACATGAAACTGACAGCCACCATGCAATGTTGATTTTTATCAATACAAGTCTAAGAGAAATAACAAAAATCTCTCATTATCAATTACAGAATGAAGACAGCAACATTGCTTTGAAAATGTGAATAAACTTTGAAATACAATTAGTTTTTATCTGCTAATCAAATATTAAATCTCTTAAGTGTGTTTATTTTTCTATTTTGTAACCAACAATAGTCTAAGAGGAAGAATAAGCATTACATTTAACAAATTAAAATTAAATTCTTTCACTGAAAGACACAAATTTGGAGGAAAGTACCGCATAAGAAAAAACATTAAAATATTAAAAAAAACGAATCACTTTTGTTTTGTTAATCTAACAGAAAATTATTTTCATCTTTTTAAAATTTTCACACATTTTAACAGATAGGAAATTATTTTTCAAAAATGACAAGGAAAAGATTAAATTCTTTTTTGTTTTTACATATATACAAAATAGAGGTTTTTTTTTGTTTTTTTTTACATAAAGGCTCTTAAGCCATCTATCAATGAACAATTTTTTTTTTCGTACTATTGAAAAGTACAGAAAAAAAGCCTGTGCTAAGAGTAAAATTAGCCAACACTCCACAATGTTGAATAATACTTGCCCCTGGCTTTAATCAACAAATTCCCATTCAACTAAAAAAAAAACTTAGTGACCTTCTGTGTTTGTGTTGTCAGGTGCTGAATGCATGGCACCTGGTTTGAATGCTTAAAATATCTTGATAAACTAATGGAATTACAGATACAGAGGAAATTCTTTCCTTCAGTAGTGACACATCATACAACTAAATACTTGAATATTGTATAAGGCTCATTATCAGGTGTAAACTACAATTTAATAACATATCTTCCCACTATTGCTTATGTATACTAAAGACTTGGGACAATTTAAAAAGGCGTAATTTAATTTTATGATCCATTTCTCCTAGGTTTTGGGGAATAGAGAGAAAACATTTTCCAAGAAGATAAAGTGGACATAGGAATATAAGAGGTTATGCAGCTAAAAGGAAAAGAAAAGCTTTTCAATTTCTTTGTTAGAATAGATTAGAATATTATGTAAGTGTTCAAATATGGGCCAAAAGTAATTCTTTCTTGTGCCATATCTCTTCAGGATGTGGACGATCATGGCTCTCCACAGCTTTCTAACCTTTGTAGCTCTAAGCAAGGCTTGTCCCATACTATCCCCCTCAGTCCATATTCTGTCATCCATTTACACAAGCATGTTAGGTTACTTGATGCTTCCCTCTGACCCTTTTATCTTCAATGTATCTTGTGAATGTCATTTTTCCAACCCTTCTTTCCTCATGATGTACCCCAGATACTTTAACTGTTTTTTTCCTTAAAACTTCTTTGTTGTTCACATGTTCTGTCCATGGTATTCTTAGGATCTTTCTATAGAACCACATTACACAGCAATTCTGCACTCTTTTCTTTGTTTCTAATGAATTTTTCCTGTTTCTAAATTACTTAACTTTTGGCAGATATTCACCATTCCAATGCGTCTCTGGATTTCTGTATCACATTTTCCATCGTCTCTTATAAAATTTGCCATATAGTTAAATTTTAATACTTGTTGGATTCCAAAGTTTGTAATTCAGGAGAAATAAATGAAGGAATTCTGTGTAAACAGTTTGAAAATTGAAGATAATTGGTAAATCACCTAGATTAATGAAAATGTATTGGTTGATCGGTTTTGTTTAGCAACATATCAACCTCTATGGGTTACTTAATACCAAAATCTAAATATTTTGTATGTAATTTTATGCCTTCCACTACAGATATTTTGTATATAATTTCATACTTTTAGGGCAAATATATGTTTTTTTAGATATATAGTTTGAAGATGATAAAATTTATTGTTGGTAATTTTACTATAAAAATGTAACACTGATTTTTGTTTGTAGGTTCACTATTTGCCCAAAGATGGGATTCTAGCAAGTGCTACCACCCTAGGCCTGAGAACAACAGCAGAGGTGGTTCCACTCTCCTCAAAACTTCCAGTTTCCCAACCAGAGGCTTGTGGCTGGATGTAGTTTATCATCATGCCCAGGGTGAAATGAAAACTTGAATCATTCACAGATATAAAATAAAATGTGTGTGTGTATAACACTTTTCATAGAATGCATAAATACTACTCTCAGATCTGAGGCAACATAATCTCTTTCCTTTTCAATGCACTTAATTCAATGGTGAATATTAAATCATAAGTCATATATTATATAGGGAAAATTTCAGATCAAAATTCAAATAATTATGTGAGACTTCAGATATATTGATGTATTCTTGTATGTTTTTGACTGACAAAATGATAGACATTATCAAAAAAGAAATGTGATGATAAAAAGGTTACTCAATAGTCTAAAGAAAAACATGCTTTAGTGAATATGTCTTCTGTCACTATCCAGATATAGATCTTATTGACCATTACTCACATTAAAAAAATGTTAAAACAATTACCCTAACAAATATCTTTCAACACAATTTTCTTCCTTACAATGCACTTAATTCAGTGATGAATATTAAATTACAAAGATTGTACATTATACAATGAAAATTTCAGATCAAAATTCACTAAATAATTATGTAAGGCTGCATATTTATTGATGCACTCTTGTAATTTTATGGCTGACAAAATGATAGACATAAGCCTAAAAAAATGCAATGATAAAAAGGCTAACCAATGATTAACTTAAAAAAAAAAAAAAAGTTTTTTTTTTTCTATCTTTCCTATCGACACTCAGGAATAAGTACAATTCTTCTCCATTAAGAAATACTACTTACCTACCAATAGATACACAGGTATAAGTTAGTAAATAATGAGACTATTTAAGTTGAACATTTCCATTGCTTCCTACAAAATTTAAAGAGTCAAATTGATTCCAAATAGCTAATAATTATTGTACTTGTTTATTATATACACAAGATGGTGCTGAAAATTTCTCAGCCTATCCCAAAATCTGATCTAATGACCAAATGTTAGGGCTTTCTTTTTCTGAATACCTTCTAGGTTAGACCCAAAAATTTTCAGTACCTTATATCAATAAATATTTAGTTAATTTCTAGTTTAGTTTCATACAATAGCAATTAGTGCAGCCTGATGAATACCATCATATGAAACTCAAAACTTCTTGTTGATTGCCATTGCATGAAACTTGAAGTTGCAAAAGAGTAAGAAAGAAGAAATTAACTAAATATTTTAGGTATACAGCTCTGTGCTATGCATTAAGCTATTTTGTTAACTTTATTCCATGTGCACATTTTGTGCAGCATATACATTGGGTTGGCCAAAAAGTTTTTTTATTAAGTAAAAAATTTACTTAATAAATCAAACAAACATTTTTGGCCAATCCAATAAACATATTTATAATGAACAAGTACTTAATCTGAAGAAAATTGTTTTAAGGACGTCTGAAAAAGAGCATTGCTATTACTCAGACTAATATCCTTATCGGTTTTCAAATTAGGTTCAGTATTTTAAAAGCAACTAATCAAGCCATAACAGTTTGGGAAAGTTCAGCATGATTTTTATATTATCCAAGGATGATGAAAAGAATTAACTGTTAAAGCCTAAAGCTATATCAATAAAATAAAACAAAATTTACTTTTAATAGAGAAATTTACAAAAGACAAACATCTCATAAAACAATAAAAACAACATGAAATTATCCCAGAAAAAAAAGGAAAGTAAGAAGTGTGAAATGAGAGTAGAGGTTAATATGCAAAATGAAATGACAGTCTTATTTTGCAAGCAAGCAAAACTGGTCAGGTAAGTAAGAGGATTTTAGCAACTACAGCTGTTCAATGTTTTTCCCTTAAACAAAAGAATATAGGCTGAATAAATTCAGACAACATTGCAAATGCCCTGTGTCTGCAAATCACATGTCATGAGAAAAAATAGTTTGTTTTATAACTAGTTGACCAATAAAAGGTAAGGTCAGCCGACAATTTTAGAACAGGCTTTTCAGCTATTTGGACAGTTCTCTGATAAATCCCAATAACGTGATACTTTCTACGTATTCACAAATACCAAATACAAAGCAATAGATTTTTGAATGAACAAATTTATGTTTTCCTATTTGCAGGCTTTTTTTTTTAAATTTTCAGAAACAAAGAATAAAACAACCAAGCCGTATTTTAAATGCATCTCAACTGAGATTTTTTTTTTTTGCTTTTTTAATCATTTCACTTCAAGCAAGGCAACAATGCCAATAGAATGCAGTGGTTTACAAGGAGTGAAAAACAATGAAAAGATTGAAAATAGGGTTAGGAAATGGGGGTGAAGAAAAAACAAAAAAAGGAACAACAAGACAGAAGATGGTAATTGATGATGCATTTAAATTTTTGAAGATTTTAGTTATCAGGGAAGCAAGAAATCATAAAGGAGTTCAACAGGTGAGAACGTATACAGCTGGAACTTATTTAAGCTCTTTCAACAAAAAAAGATTTTAAATTCTTAGTAACTAGTTTTCTTCCTTTGTAGAATAGAAAAAAATATATTGGGAAATAATGGCCTTTACAGAAAACAAATTATATGAGAACAAATTTAAATGTTGGTTACAATCTGTTTGGAATGACAGATTAAAATCTCCCCTTTCCAAATCTATGAACAAATTCTACAGATGCATGCTGGGATTTCTTTCTAACCAATAAAAAAAAAAAAAAAAAGACAGACAATTTGCAGAGTTGTCCCCACATTTTTTGTTCTTTCTTGCTTTGAGGTCTGAATGCTATAAACACTTGACTGTATCCCTTTTGCATGTGAAAACTATTTCTACTTTGTGAACTGTTTGCATTATTACTGTCTTATAGTTGCTTTGCTTTTGATTTGCATTGTATATATATTGTCTCATTTTTTCTGTTCTTTTTACTCTTTTTATTGCTTAAGAATTTTGCATAATCCTAGCTAATTATTCTACAGTGCCAACAAACATTGCATTAAGAGTAATATATAAAATTTAATATAAAATAAGAGAGCAAAATACATAGACAAATGCAACATAATAAAACTATTGCTTTATTAAAATATCAACTAAAAATGCAGCATATATTTTGCAATGAGGAATTCTTATATGTTTTGCTTGGTTGTTATACTCAAAGTGTTTTCATTGTTCTTCAGCTGCCGTTGAACTTGGCAATCTTGGAATTTCAAACCAAACCCTTTATTAAATCGACAAAGAGATTGTTCTCATTTCACTATACATAGAGGTAATTTCAAATCAGTACCCGCTATTTTTATCCATGTGTGTGTTGCTTGTCTGTTTCTTCCACTGAACCAATTATGTGACTTTTCAGCACTACTAGGACCAGAGGATGAAGTCACAACTGTCAGAGAATTCAATGTGTTTTAAATAAGGCAACATGTTTTAGCCATGGAGCCATGAGATTATTGAAGAGACAATCTAGTGCTGAAATTCTGGAACCTTGAACCTGATGTCTGTAGTCAAGTGTTTCCTGGCAGTTGTGAGTTCAATCCATTGTAGTGCTGAAAGACAATCACATAAATCAAAGTGGAATGAGAACAATCAATCAACCCACTTGGATTGAATAAAAAGTTTGATTGGAAATTCAAAGAAGGTTACTGAGTACAAAGACAGACACCCAAAGAAGGTAGGAGAGTGTAACAGCCAAACTGTGGTGAGTATAACCACCAAAATGAACTTGTCGGTTCAAATAGGAAAGCATATAAATTACATTGAAAGATGTAATCCAATATATTTATGAAATACCCTCTATGCAGTTTTACTTGTACAGTTTGAACTGTGAAAAGGTCAGCTCTGATTTTCAATATTATAAGTGAATAAATGTGTTTTTAATCAGATAACTCAAAAAGAAATCAAAAGTTTTATAGATTCAGATTTAACACAATATAAAAAAATAAGACAAGCTTAAACAAAACATATAAAATATTTAAAAGCATTGTGTGATCAGATCAGATTTAAAAGCACTGGAAGCAGATCAGATTTCCAATAATGTCAAAGTAGTAAACTAAAAATAGTTCAAACTCAAGATGTTTTTTTTATTGAAAACATTGAGCTTTAATGAGAATATAAAAAAAAGATACTACTTAAAAAAAATAACACTGAAGTTTATTATTAATCTAGAACCAGTATTTTTTTTTCATCTTATTTCTATTACTTTTTTCTTGTCTGTTCCAGACTGATATTCTATGATTGTTGAGTAAGCAGTGCAAATACGAAACAAATGTTGTAGCATCAAGCCAGAATAGATTTTGTATTTAATATCACACCAGACTATCAAGAGAAACCAAGTACAGAATCATATGATCTCACAGCTGGACCTATCTTGCAAGTATTGAAATATAAAGTATGTCAGAGATAGATATATAAACACCCACTCTAGTGGGAATTGAGAAGTCTTTCAGATATTGCAGATGAGAATGTAAGGTCCACATTTTGGACAAGGGGCTCTAGGGCTGTGGGGAGTAATTGACAGTAACTGAATAAAATTCAATGTTAAATATGAGATTAAGTGATGCATTATCATTTGGTCTGTACTCATAATTCATTAAACAAAGAATAATCCTACAGCAAGATTTGAACTTGTATCCTTTCTCTTAAAATTTTTACAGAGGGAGTATTCTTTGTTTCAGTCACTCTGTGTACTTAAAATAGAATAATGATTAGAGATGTGTGATAAACTGAAATAAGATGAAAGAAATACTTGTCAAAAATTAATAATGCTTGATCTAACCAACGAATACTATTATATCTGATACTACTAACAATGTAATTAAATGTAGTAGAAACAAAATGAAAGAAAAAATCAAATTTAATAATGCTTGATTTAACCAATGAATACTATTATATCTGATACTACTAATGTAATAAAATGTAGTAGAAACAAGATGAAATACTTGTCAAAAATTAATAATAACTGACAATGATTAATCTATTACAATAGTATAACATTTAACAGCTTCTTTCTTTTTTTTTTAATACCGTGTCACTTCAGGATGGAAGCAATCATGACTCAACAGCTTCCTTTTCTTTATTATCTGTGAATTGCCAAACATTCTTAGGATAAATAGTGGAGTGGTTTTCCATAGCTTTTTCTACAGTATGAAATTCAGAGTTTTATTTCTCTTAGACTGATTGCCATCCAAAACAGTCTACTTGACTATTTAATGAATAGCTAGCTGGAGAAAATCAGATTAATGTTTTTTCCAAGAGAATTAATGCAAGAGTAAACAACAAGTTAGCCCATAACTTGAACACTGAATGCCAATTTCACTTTCTGTACTAATGTTACTTACGCTAACCTCACATCCTATAGTAATAATTTAAAAATACTAGTTTATGCAATTTTTCCTTTGATTTAAATAATTTAAAACAATTATCAATTTGCTTTTGAATCATCCTAAATTGATATTTGCTTGGACAGACTTACCTCAAAGAGACAGGCTGTGAGTTCTTCTAGTTCTTGGCCCATCTGATCACGGACTTTAGCAAGTTTCTCACACTCTTCATCTTTGAGTTCTAATTCCTGCAAGAAAAAGAAAACATCAATAGAGAAAATAAAAATAAGAAAGAAATGAAACTAAGATCTAGCCATTTCCACAATCACAAGAAAACAAAAATTCCATTAACAATTTCATTTAACAAAGAATTAACTGAAATGAGAGAGAAGAAATGCAAGTATGATAATATATATTTCACACCACCAGAAGATTATAACCAGCTTGAAACTCCGAGTTACAGTGAGTTAAAAAAAATGATGATCTATATTTTAATATTACATTAAAGATCTATCAGGTGACATTGAGCAGTTGATTTGGTTTATAATTTTAAGCTTTTCAGCTTATTTTTTTTTTTTTTACTATAAGTAAAAAATGCCAAAATAGCGAATTCAAAAAGATATTAGTTTGTAGATTTGGTTCTAATATGAAAATTTATGATCTTCAGGCTAAATCCGACAGCCACTGTGCAGTTATTTCCTGTGTCTACACTATCAAATATAAAGATAATGAGTGTGTTTTTCCTTTTTGATTATTATTTTAATAAATTAATTTCACAAAAGGAAATAATTCTTAAGTTATATATATATTATATATATTTAAGGTGTCTCAAAAATTTATGCACATTTTGTAGCTCTCTCCAGAAATAATCCAAGCAATGAGAACTAACTCTAAACAACGCATATGCAGAAAGTATTTATTACAAAAGGCATTCATTCTCTTGAGATTTTAATCACATGTTTTCATATTGATGTCTGTTATGATCCAGACATTGCTGACAACACAGGCAGCAATCAACATTTTGGTAGGTATTTAGCTGTATTCTTGCTCTATGGAAACTTTCATTTCAGCTGATTGTTGCTGGCTTTGTAGCTTAGACTTTATCTTTTAAGTATCCCCATAAGAAATATATATATATATATATATATATATATATATATTTCCTGATAATGACTGTGAAAGTCAAAACTACTTTAACAAAAATAACAAAATATAAACTCTGGATAGTTTATACACAACTTTGAGTATAATACTCAACACTTTATCTGTAAATTGGAAAAATACAATAAAAAATTAAGCAGACAAAACTTATTGATTCTTTTTAATCGTCCGAAAAATAATTCAGTCGAGCACTGCCAGGGGAGAGTGCGAATTTGTAAACAGTGACTATTACTGCTGACTATGCAAGACCCTCCAGCTGGATCAAGTTCTCTAGGTTACTGACATGTTTATAAATATGCAAAAATTTGCCTCTCTTTTGGGCGCCAATAACCTAAGGGTTAGAATCTCCAACTGATGCAAAATCGATCAGGTTTCGGTCCCGGCTTGAAGCAATCACACTGATGAGCTGTGATACAGTGAAACAGTCTGTCTGTGGATGACTATATATATATATATATATATATATATATATATATATATACACACATGTTCATAATGATGTGAGATATTTTAAATGCAATTATCTTGGATTGTAAAAATGATAGAGTACAAAATATATTTATTATATAACTGATATAAAAGAGTTTAAGATCATCTAAGATTTGAATATTAAATCCCTGCGATGGTCACCACCACAAAGAGAATATGCACAAGCTTGCTCTCTCATTTCAAATACAGTGTGGCATAGTATAACAACTGGAATGGCTATAATATTCAAATCTTAAATATGTGAACTCTTGTATATCACTTATGTAATAAATATATCTGGTACTCTACATCAGTTTTATAGGCCAAGATACTTGCATTTAAAATGTGTCCCATCATTATAGGGCACACTGTACATATATTTCATTTGTGAAAGCAGCGTGTGGCAATTTTCTAAAGCACCTGTGTTTATTTATAATTCAGTTAATCAAACAGCTGGCTATTTTATATTTCTTTTTTTAGACAAGCTGTTTCCTGACAAGGGCTTTATATATTCAGCTGCTAATTCCCCACCCATTTCAGATTTGAATGCCATCTCCCTTTTCAGCATTAAAAGGGGCATTTGAAAAGACTAAAAAAAAAAAAAAATAAAGGAAAGTAGAATCTGTTACCTGTTGAAACACATGAGTTTTTTTTTATTGTCACACCTAAATAACATTTCAACTTTGTTCTTTATTCACTTATTTTGATCATTTTTTTTTCTTTCTTTGGTTAATCTATCTAATAGACTCTTTAGCATAAGCACCATTAACTTAATGAAAGGAAACCAACTTTCACTCAATTCTTGTTCATATTAGCCTTTCAAGATTTGTTTGCCCATTATATATAGAGTGTGCGATGGATAAATTGTCATCCAAATCACACAAAAAAAATGAAAATAACACATTTTAACAGATACATTTACCAAACTTACATAAAATTGTTACCGTGGGCTTCAACTATGGCCTCCAGACAACTTAAGAATCTCCTGCTACTCTTCTGGACAGTCTCTTTGTTTAAGTTGGTGAATACTGCCATAATCTTTGCCTTCAGTTCATCTTTGGTTTTACAAAGGGTATTGTTTGTCTATTACTCAACTGCACCCCACACATAATAAGTGGGCTGCAGTCTGGGAAGTTAGGTGGCCAAATGTAAGGGGTGAGGTAGTCACAGAAACTGTCTGACAACCATGAGTGAGTTCTGCTGCTTACATGGCATGGCACAGAGTCCTGCTGCTTGACATAGGTTCTTCCAGTAGCCACCCTCTTGACCCAAAACAGCACTACCTCTTCAGGACACTTAATCTAGGCCTTCATGTTGAGTCTAACGCCATGTGGGAAGATGAATGGAGGCATAATGTTGCCATCACTAGTGATACTACAAACACCTTCATAATCACTATTAAACTCATCCAACTCATTCCGAATCCTCTGCACTGTCCTCAGATTGACACCCAAACATTCTGAAATGTTAGTATTGGAGCTTTTGAAACAAATGCCAAGCAGTGCACCATGCCATTTCGAAATTTCTGGCAGAATGAATTTCATCATTGTGCTCTTTTTCTCACAGATGGTACCCAACTGACCCTACTATACTGTGCAGTTGACAAAATCAAAAACAATGTGTATGCGCAAAATTAAAAATATAAAATGGCGACAATTTATTCAGCATACCGTCTACTTGCTTTTCTGATAACTACAATCTTCAAAAATTTAAATGCAACATCAATTGCCATCTTTTATCTTCTTGAATTCCGTTCATCTTTTGTCCTTTCCTCAATCCTCCCTATAATCAATTTTTTCTTTCATTCCCTGAATACTGTAGTCTCTTGAATACTAGTAGCAATTCTACCTTGCTTGAGATAAAATGATAACAAAAAAAAATAATAAAAATTCATATTGGGGCCTTTTGTTTAATATTCAAAACACAATGCTTTGACCAGTTTCAAAGTTTTTATTAGGAGTGTTTCTATACTCTTTAAACATCTTTTACAACTAGATGTTTTTTTGTAAATGACAGTATTATTGACAAATATTTCTTAGTCCTCATAAAAGAAACTGTATGGGTACTAGAAAAACTGAATAAAAGCTTATAAAAATTTATTTGCCCATCATATTCAACAAAACAGAGAAAAAAAAATTTCTGCTAAATATTATATAAATATATATATATATATATATATATATATATATATATATATATATATACCTATATATATATATATATATATATATATATAGTCATCCTACTTTTAGGAATTTGTTCTCTTTTGATGCAAACAAAATGAAAGCTTTGTGATACCTGTGGAAACATTTCTTTCCTAAAATATGTTTGTGTTACCATTTCAAATTTTGAGACACCTGACATCCAAGACAAATATGCCACTAATTTTCTTGAATGTATTGTGAGAACAAACAGATGACTTGGTTTTCCATTTGTGTACGTGCCCTAAATAGAAACTTGCCCATTACCAAATTTACTTTGTTGGTAAGTCATGTACCAGTTACTTATAAAGTACAAAACAAAAATAATGTCATATTTAAATATACCAGCTTGTTCTAACATCTATTCTATAATATAAAACACAATGTAACAGTTGGTCATGCAGCTTGATCTCCCCTTCTTAATAATGAGATGATCTGTTTTCATGGTAATGAGGCATTTCTCAACACCAATAAATATGCCTCCTATTACTATACAAGAATATATCACTAGTAAGTAGGGGGGTACCAAGCTGCTAATACATAGCTTTTTTCTTTTTAGCTTTCATTGGATATTTTGGCTTAATGATGTAAAACTTAGAATTTTTTTTTTTTTTACATATGATATTGTATAGGTAAGAATTCTAGATTACTACCCTAAAAATATAATCAATTTCAAAATTACTTAAATATTGGAATTATAATCCTGTGAAGTAGATAGGAACAGAGCGTGATGAAGTTTTTAATCATTATCAGCAAACAAATATTACAGTAATTACATGCAAACACATACACACATTCTCTCTCTCTCTCATATATTATAGACACATACACACACACAGCACTGTTTAAAATTTGCTATATTTAGGGAAAAAAGTGCTCAATATAAAAGATAGCACAAATGCAGATATAAACAGGGTGGACATAGAAATCAATATTACCTAGTGACTGTTAGTTTCATACCTCAATTGATCAGAGCATGAAATTATCATTCACTATGCAAGTATTCATATCTGTCTATATTGTTATATATCAGCCATTGCAAGTTCACTGTGGAACAAAGGCTTTTATCAACTCCTTTTGTGACAACTGTGAATCTCTATATCATCTATTTGATCTGTTCCTACTGTTTTCTATCTATCAAGAAACCTTTTGCTCCACCTGTTGTCCTTTCTTTCTTCTTGTGTGTATCACCCACCACCATTTTTACTGTATAATAACTTATAATATCTCTATTTCCTGATCCATATTGATCTTTCTACCTCAGAGTTATCCTGAACATTGTACATTCCATTACAACCCAAAATTAGAATAAAATTAAATATAAAAACAACTATGTAATTAGTCAGGAATTGCATATATGGGTG